GATAATAGCACATGGTTTTGCTCCCAGATTTTAGGATTTCCCTATGTAAGTGTTACATTGTGCACCCAGTCCAGTAGTGCCCCAAGAAACCTGGCCCAACACAAATACAGATCAAACAGGGCTGTCCAGCTGAGAAATACAAAAGGCTTTCAAAGACAGAGCTTTTAAGGGCCGAACTCAAGAGATTTCTGTGGGATTTGGGATTGAAGGGGGATGCCACCTCAGCCAAAGGCAGTTTAGGCTAACAAATTCCTGATGCTGGGCAAAAGGGAACATTATTGGCAGGATGACTGGATTTCATCTGCTCACTGTCTGCCAAGGCAATGTCATTTCTTGCCCCTCCTGCCTCCCTGGCTCTGTTGGAGGAGGCTGTTTCCTGAATTTCCTTGGTGAGGTCAAACAGGCAAGACCAACAGGGAAGAGGCCCCAGGAAGTCAGTCCTGCACGAGAACTGAGTCCTGTTCAACGGTTACTGTGATGATACAACATTTACAGTGCACGGGGGGGCCTGGAGGGACCAACATAACCAAAAACCCAGCCAGGTCAGTACTCACCTCCAGCAGCCTGGTGTGGCTGCCACCCAGGGAAGGGTAAAAGCATGAGGAAAATATACTTGACCAGCATATTTTCCAAACCTCCAGCTGTTTGTGTCTCAGAGACCCCTCAGGCTGGGGGATGCAGCAGTTCTTTTCACCACTGGGTATTTTTTTTCCTTCTATTCCTATTCCTATTTCTGTTCCTGTTCTTCTCCCTATTTCTGTCATATTTTCCTGGCATCTTTGCAGAAGGGAGGGAGTGAAATGCTAGAGATGTTCCTTCACCCCTTTCCCCCTTGACCTTCCCCACCCTGGCCCTGTCCCTTTACCTGGGATATTTATGAAGAAGGGGATGAATGGTCCGAGCATTTGGGAGTCTCCTGGTCACAAATCAGTCTCAAAACTGACCCTGATATTTGTGCAGAGATGTTTTTAAGTTGGGAAGACGAGCAGGGGGGTGCAATGTGCCTCTGACAGCTCCTTGCCCAGGGAGCCCTGAGTCCAGCACATCACCCCACAGCACGAGGCATTTGACAGATGAGTCTCTGACATTCTTGTCACGTCTCCCTTCTCCTCTTCCCCACTCGCCCAAGGCTGGAAATGCTGGAGGCGAGCTGGGAGGTCTGGCTCGTGTCCTGGAGCCTGTCAGGGCCGGGACACACAGCCCAGGGCCTGCAGCTGGACTCACAGGAGGCTCCAGAGAGGCTTCATCCTCATCCTGTCCGTGTGTGCCCCGGGGTGCAGCTCGGCTCTGTCGGGACACCACGGTTGGGAGCATCAGGAAAGCATGGAAAGAGTGCCTGGGAAACAGAGGGAGGGGGGGAGAGACAGAGGGAGAGGGGAACAGAGTTTCTGTGCCCGTTGGGATCACGCTCAGGGAAAAGGACAGACACCCTGTTGGGGTCTGGGATTAAACAGAGCATTCGATTTTTCTGAGAGAGATCCCAGTCCCACGTGTGAGAGGGGACATGGGCTGGTGCAGGCAGGGCAGAGCAGCTCCTGGAGGGTCCAGCTGTCCTTTGGGGCTGCCAGGCTTTACAAGGCTGGGCAGAGCACTGGGGAACGCAGCACTGGGCTCTGAATGCACTGGGGATGTGAATGTATTTGGGGTGTGAATGCACTTGGGATCTGCAGATTGTGTGACACAGAAACCCCCCCAGTTTTCTCCCAGGTTTTTGGGGGAGCAGTGAATATGAAATCCTCTTCCTCCAGTAGATGCTACACGGGAATGACCTGGGGACACGTTAGACGGTGATAAGTGACTCTCTCCATCCCCTTTTATCCTGTTTACAACACAGAGGCTTTCCTCGAACAAAACCCTTTTTTCCCTCTCCCCGCTCCTGGCTGTTGTGTCTAAACGAGCCAATTTGCTGAAGGACTCCTCCTGGAAGCACTGCAAGTCTAACAAGACCTGACCATGCCTCTTTGTTTCTGGCAAAAATCAATTTCTTCACAAAAAAAGAACAGAAATCTCTTTCTGCATTTCAGTTCTGGCCATTCCATCAGGGCTCCTGTGATACCTCTCCCAGCCCTGGCCAAGAGGGAAGTCCCAGCCTCTATTTTCATTCCACCTATTTGCAGAAAGCGTTGGAAAAACGGGGTTTTAATGGCTCAGGGCAGGGGGAGCGAAGGACAGGAATGTGTTTGTTGCTGCTGCAGTTGATGGGTTTGTTGATATGTTGTTTATTCTTGGCCTGATGTGATTTCTGGGGCTTATTTGACAGCCAGGGGATAATCTTTTGCCAGAGGCCTGGCTGGCTGAGTGGCAGGGCAGACAAAGTTTGATGCATTATCTGAGAGGCAAGGGATGGACCCACAGGGGCAGAGTCTCTCGTTAATTAAGGATGTGTAGTTATTTCACTCATTTGTATCCCTGTGATGCTTGTTCTCCTGTGACTAGGCTGCATTCTGCAGGTGCTCACCCTGAACTGCAAATCAGCAGCACTCTGCAGACTGTTCCAGCCCCAAGGATTCCTGTTCTGCCCAGTCCCACATCAGGAGGTGCCTGAAAGTAATTTCTCACCTTTCCTCCAACCTTTGTCAAAGTCCTTCAGGATCTTGAATTTTTGCTGCAGTTATTTATTTAGGCTTTGCCTAAGTGAGGAGCAGACAGGGCTGGTGTTGCTGAAGAGAGCTTGGGGTTTAAACCAGCGTATTTAACTGCCTTGGAGCATTTTATCTGGATGGAGCCAGTTTAAGACACTGTTCTTGGTGACAAAGCAGGTTTCTCTCCACACCACAGGTGGGACAGGCAGCACAAACCCAGAAAAGGGCAGAATCAACCTAACAAAGAAACCAGTAGAAAATGGCACCATTTAACAGGGGGAAGAAATGGAGAAGGAGAGAGCTGAGAGCTCGCCTGGGCCAGGGGGGCAGAGCTGCTCCTGATGAGTTTGAAATGCCTGATCCCATGGTATGTACTGGATGCTTTACAGAATACAGGCCTTTCCCAGTTCTTCCCAATCAAGCATTTATTAGGATGAAGCCCCGTTTCCTGACAAGAACCATTTTCCGTTAAACTACACTGACAAAAAGGAGTCACTGTATTAATTGGGGCTTTTCAATCAATCGGTGTTTGATTTTAATCAGTGTTTTTAATCAATCATAGTGCTAATTGGAGCTCTTCCAATCAATCACTGATAAAAAACAGTTTGCAGTGTCCTGCTGCCCTGACTAACTGGCTTATATCTTCTCTTTTTAATT